AAAAAAAAAAAAAAAACGATGAGATGTCGTTATTATTCACAAAACACAGATTGACCAACAGAATGTTTGTCATAATTTTCAGGGAATTGATTGCTGGGGGGGGGGAATTGTAATTGATGAGTGAGGGGAAAAATCAGGAGAGGCTTTTTTGGTGATGATGTTGGTGGGAGGAATGTAAGGAGTCAGCGCCGAGGCCAGTGATTTTTGTGTCAATGAACTTTGCGCGAAGCCCACCGGTCGGTACGTCTGTGGTGTCATGGCTTCCCCGAGAATCTCCTCACACACCTGAAGCGCTCGCTCATAATATTATCACGTTTACTTTTTTACATAATGCGATAAATCGTGAATTTTATATCCCCATAATAACGCGAGTTTTACTGAACTGATATTGTTTTTGTCAAAATCCGAACTACAGGTGTTATTTTTCACACAAAATTATCGTATTTTCGAATCAACGAGGATAAAAATATATTTTTCTACAACCGTCGGAGTAAATACTGGAGGCGCTCGAGCTATTTGAATAGATATCATGTGCATTACCTATTCTACCACTTGTGTGTATCATAGAATTCATAGTCTACTAGATCAACTTTGTGTGATAGAGGATCACCTGTATTGCCCAAGTGGCCCTGTGCCTGCTGAATTATTAAATTGTCCACATGATGAACAAACACCTGTTGTTATCAATAATTCAATGTTTATCCATAAGAATTTGTATTGAACATGACTTTGAGCACGAAATAATCACCCTCGACGTTTTGTCCTGCTCTTTATTTTCAAGGAAGCATTGAAAAATCTAGAATCTTTACGACAAGTACGATAATGTCGGAGGCAAAAAATGATGGGCGTTGAGGCGCAGGCGATAGTCGACTTATCACTTGCCGATGGGCATAAAACCCCTAATCTTCAAGCCGAATTTTTCTCCGGTGACATCCACTGAATTTCATGTTTTTTTTCAACCAAAAAAAAAAAAATAACAGAAAATTTGAAAATTACTCATGAGCCATTCTGTTTCGTCGTTAATATCCAAAACACAGTGATCCGGCTCCTGCTTCATAGTCCCTCCGAAGCGTGTGCAATCGCCTGACTCCTTCACTTTTAATCAACAACAAATAATCTCATTTCTACCTTTAACCTTTGGTAAAAAGCGCGATGAATTTCACTGAAATAACTTGAAATCCGCCTTTGGAGCCGGGAATATTAATTTTTTTAACTTCAGCTTTTCGAAATACCGGTTTATACTATCAATCGCTTGATTCCCGTCGAGTTAACGCCGATGCGACCGGCACTGCGGAGCGTTCAGGAGGGAATGAACCGAGCCAATGCCACCAAGTTGTGCTTGTTCCAAGTACGAATGGACGAGCCTCCAAAACAAGCAGCTCTGCCACTGGTCACAAATAGTCAGTGAATTATGCACACGCTCATCTGTGCGCATTGTGGGCCCTAGCAATTATTCAAGTCCCGACTAATTACGTGCGCTAATGGGGACCATTAACTCGTAGAATTTCCGTGAGTACTATTCCACTGTGACTCATTTAAAATCGATTAATAAGTTACTTTCGAAAGCTTATGGGATCAAAATTGAATTCGTCGTGTCTTTGAGAGATACTCATAAATTCAAACGCATTTTAATACGAGTTTAACATTTGGAGAGCAATTCTGTAGCGAAGCGGTAAAACCATTCAAACCGACTTAGCTCTCGACTGAGTTTTCGAGGAATATCTCTGAATTGAAGGGAGATAGCGAAATTTTTGATAGAACCTTTTTTGTAGGGCGAATTGAGAGCTGCAAAAAAGGTTCTGATAAAAATTCTGTTATCTGCCTTAGTTTCCGAGATATTCGCTGAAAACTAAGCGGTAAAATCATTCAAGTCGACTTGGCTTCTGAGTTTTTGAGGAATATCTCTGAATTGAAGGGAGATAGCGAAATTTTTGATAAAACCTTTTTTGTAGGGCGAATTGAGAGCTGCAAAAAAGGTTCTGACAAAAATTCTGTTATCTGCCTTAGTTTCCGAGATATTCGCTGAAAACTAAGCGGTAAAATCATTCAAGTCGACTTGGCTCCTGAGTTTTTGAGGAATATCTCTGAATTGAAGGAAGATAGCGAGATTTTTGATAGAACCTTTTTTGTAGGGCGAATTGAGAGCTGCAAAAAAGGTCATGATAAAAATTCTGTTATCTGCCTTAGTTTCCGAGATATTCGCTGAAAACTAAGCGGTAAAATCATTCAAGTCGACTTGGCTCCTGAGTTTTTGAGGAATATCTCTGAATTGAAGGGAGATAGTGAAATTTTTGATAGAACCTTTTTTGTAGGGCGAATCGAGAGCTGCAAAAAAGATTATGACGAAAATTCCATTATCTGCCCTAGTTTCCGAGATATTCACTGAAAACTGAGCAACAGTCAAAATCGACTTGAATCGTTTCACAGCATCGCTCCTAAATTAATTCTCGTTCATGTGACTGTGAGTTATTGTAATTCTCGTCAAGTACGAAGTCATAATGTAGTTATCAGTGTATTATCCGATGCCCTCGGGCTCGATAATGTTTTTCATTCGTCGGGAGGAATATTTTTTAGAATGACGGAACGCAGCTAGCCGCGACACACGTGAATTCCCACTTCTAATCGAATGTTTTTGACGGATTAAAGACTAATGTGTAGCCGAATGCGCATGAATTACTGTCAAAATCACAGGATTTCGGAGTGGATGCGGATGAAGGATTCTACATTGTATTAGTAAACAAAGGAAACAAATAATTGAGCACTTACCGAATGACTCAAGCTCCGGAAACATATGAAAGCTCTCGTCAATATTAGAGTTCCAGGCGGGTTCTTCTTTTATTAACATCGTAAACAAGATATTTATTCCCCAGATATCAATTCGAATTCACTGATCACTTGTACGTTTCATGTGAGCACTCATATTACAATTCCAACGACAATGGAGCGGTGAGAATCAACATTTCGTGGGTTTTCACATTAGTAGACGTGAGCAGGCATTTGTCGTGGGCGGAATTCGTGGGTGAACTTTTTTACCCCTACTATTGTTCCATTTTGCATAGCGCACCATGCGGAATCACAGGGATTTACTTGTAGTTCACGAAATGTCGCCATGGAACGCTACGATCGAAGACGCGGGACATTTTAAACGAGATTTCATAGTTTAAAGCAGCTGTACCCGTTCCCCGGACAGCGCTAAAGATTCGGATATTTTTAGTTTTTCAATTTTCCAATTGTTAAACTTAATGGAAACAATTTAAAAAAGTTCATGTCTAATTAATAATCGTGCAAATTACATTTTGTAAGATACCAATATTTTTTTGAAGATGTTCTTCTCGTAAATAAATAATGGAACGGCTCCAGGATTTTTTTTCTTGTGAAAAATCCCCCGGAAAATATTTCCCCTCAAAAATTAAATCAAACATATAAGTGACCACCGCATCAATTCATCTTTATTGAGTGTAACATAACACAACTGATCTGATTAATGAAATCGCATTGAGTTTAACATTTGCATGTCAACATTGGTCGATAAACCACGAATTGATTGAATAATTGCGAATTAAAAACGCGATTTTAGTAATTAGAAGACGTGAATATATTTTTCATCCAAATGAATTGTCCAAGGGACTCAAGGGACACAAAGTTCAAAAGGGTCACAAGGGTCACAACTTAAAAATTGTTTTTTAAAATCAAAATCAAATCAAAACCAAAAACCCCGAAATCATCACATCAAGGCACAATTCATTTACTTTCGATTGAGATAAAGAGTTTCACAACGCCATAAAAAAAATTAAAATACCAAAGGAGAAAATCAGACAGCTGATTTACCCCCATCACTAGAATTAAAATGCTTCTTGAGCCCTTTCCAACAGTCCAAATAATTGGGATCCAGTTTGCTGCTGGTAGCAGCCCAGGAAGTGAGGCCCATGCACAGAGACGTCTCAAACATGAAAGCCATGGTGCCCTCCGCAATCCTCTCGGGCTTCAGCTCAGCGTTGCTAGCTCCCTCGAAACACTTGACATCAGGCCCATGAGGTGTCATCATTGTGTGAAGAGATGCTCCCCCCGGCTGAAAGCCCACCTCTTTAGCCTCGTACTGGCCCTTTATCAAGCCCATGAATTCACTCATGCAATTTCCTGCAGTCAGACAGACGAAACCATGAAAATTCTACGAAATTCTTGAGTAACTACATTCCCTGGAACTTGTTTATTGGAGAGATTGACGAAAATTCTGAATTTTCACCGAGAATCAGAGCCGTAACGAATTCACGTGTAAAGTCACTCAACCAATTGCACAGTCCCATAAAAGCCGAAGAATGAAGAAGTAATAAAGTGAATTGTACTCCACTATCGTACGAACGATTGACCCAGAGATACGTTCATTATGTAAAATAGCGTTTCACTGCGCAATCATAATACTACAATGCACTAAAAGATTATCATAAAAAACATAAAATAAATTTTTCGATACCCACTGTGATAGTACGGCGGCCGGAAAGTATTCTCTTGAACAGACCATCTAGGTGGAAATATAACGAAATCAGCGATAGCTGTGCCTGGCCTCACAGAGGGACAAGTGAGAACAGTGAAGATTGAAGGATCCTGGAAGATAAATTATCCTACACTGAGAGAAAAACGACAAAGTTCTCAAACAAGCCTTACTTGTGCCAGGAAAATAGTTTTTTTGAAAATTAACAAAAAAGGATTTTTTTTTTGTGCCAAACATGCAGAGGGTGCGCCGGAATGAAAAATTTTTGTCGCAAAAATAGATTTAGTAGTTGAAAAAAAATTGCATTCTCTGTACACGCAAGAAATGTCATTCGATACACGATAAATGTTATTCGATACACGGAGAGAAATTTTCTAGAAAAATTCTAGTACGAGTACTGGAAAAAATCACAATTCACCGGCTGTGAAAAATTCTAGTGCTGTTAAGGTCAAATTTCTTGGGATTTCTGGTAAAATTTCTGGGGATTTCTGTGAAATTTCCACAGGAATACGGAGAAAATTCACGTTTTCCCCAATAAAATTTCTAGTGTTGGCACTGGCATTTTTTCCTGGCCGTCACTTTGCGCCTCTTTTCCCGTGCTAGCACTAGAATTTTTCTAAAAAATTTCTCTCCGTGTACTCCCATACGTATTTTGCTCCCGAAAAGACTTTGTTTTATGCGAAACAAGGGATAGTAGTTTTTCGTTTCGTCTGCCTAATAATCACAGACAACAAATGAACCCTTAAATGAAACAATAATAATATGACAGCAATCTTGTAACTTAATTTTATTAATTTTCCTCTATATGAGATATTTTCATCCTGAAAAGGCACCGTCTGGTGTGAATTATCCGCCTCTCGAGCCAAATATTTCGTTGCTGTCGAAAGCAGAACAATTATTCATGTTTGAGGCTTTCAAATTCGAACCAAACAAATTCTTTTTTTAGCAATTTTGTTGGCCCAAACGAGACTTGTTTGACAACGTGTTTGTTTTTCTCTCAGTGTAATAAAACCAACGACTGAAATCACACAATTCACTTGCTGAATCATTGAGGAGAAATGGTGGCACTACTTACGCAGTGATCGAAGGAGACGGAATTGATGACCATAAAACGATTTAAATCGTATTTGTAAGGCACATAATTGCCATGCCAAGCTACAACGTCAAAGGGGCTGCTGTTTTGCTCGAAGGAGAATAGTTTTCCCTGGTATTTTGTGTAGATTTTGAATTTTGAATCACGATCTTCGAAGCAGGCGACTGGAGTGAGAAAGTCGCGGGGATTGGCTAGGCCATTAGCCCCTGAAAATATTTTGTGATCAGGGATGGCCATCAATATTACATTTCTTCAATATTAGAAGGATTTCAGTATAATATTAATTGATGATGAATTAACTGTTTGATAATATGAAACTGTAAATTTTCCATCAACTAAATAACTCTAATTTCGTCAAAGGGATTTTCGATTAACCAAATAATCATCAATCTTCCTACCTAAATTATTGATTGATAAATAATTCAGAATTTGAATACTCAAATTAATGATTACTTGAATAATTAAAAATTTAAGAGTGACGTTAACTAATTTACGGCCTCAAAATTAAACGGAAATTATGATTTATGAACATGGCTGTCCCTGTTTGTGATAAACTTTTTTCCGAACTCTCGTGATATCCAGTAATAAAAGGAGAGACTCAACAATCAAAAGATTTAAAGCTTCTTTTGATGAGAATAATCATTAGAAACCAGTGAATGTCTCACCAATCGGCCCGAGATGCGGCAACTGAAAGTGATTATCGAAAACTTCGAGAATATATCCCCTGGAGGGTCCAAAAACGCTGACAGAGAATTTCATTCCCTGTTGAATGACGCTGATTTCATTGGGCTCACACTGAATCTTTCCAAATTCCGTTGTAATCACCAAAGTGCCGAGCTGTGGCACTAAATCAAGAGAATAAAGGTTGTACCATTAGTTCATTAGGATGCATTTAACTGCAGGCATACGGAAAATTGATTTACCGATGAGGAAATCACCATCAGCGTTGTAGAAAGCAGTGTCTTTCATCGAGGCATTGCACAGATAAACGTGAATGCCAACACCAGTCCTCGTTGATGCATCTCCAGCTCCGCAGACTGTGTGGAGACCCTCCACAAAGTCAACGGGCGAGCCTTGACGAGTTGGTGCTTCGAATGCACTCCACCGCAACTTGAAAAATACACGGAGAGAAATATTCAGTAAAAATTACGGAAAAATTCACGTAATCCGCAATGGGAAATCGTTTTCCGGAAATTTTTATCCGGAAAACGATTTTTTTTTTTTTTTTTTACTAATGTTCAGTGAATTCTCAGGTTCATCACCGAAGTAAAATCTTACAGAAACTTGCCGACTGATTGTGCCTCGAAAATCAAAAATTCTTGAACGTTCAACAATTTTTATGAGGCTGGTGAGTTATTTCTACGTTTCGTTCCGTAAAATTTCTCAATCGTTGGGGAAAAATTACGGAACGACTTGTCCCCACAGCTGATGTGAGTCATCAGACGAGTGATTAATTTTTACGGAACAAATCGTAGAATTTACGTGGCAATTCGTACAATTTCAGTGCTAACTCCCACTTTTTACTGAATTTTACTTCGATCGCGGATTACGTTTCAAAACGTAATTTTTACGTTTTTTTTTTGGTAATTTTTATTGAATTTTTCTCTCCGTGTAGCGGTTCAATTTTTGTCGATGACTATTGTTTAGGAAATTAATTCGCATGGGAAAATATATCTTCAGACAGTTCTCTATATTCGAAATGAATGAAACATTTCAAAATTTTATAATCAAAGAGAAAAATCGAATATTTTCAGTTGCATCCATTGAAATTGTGGAATAAAACAAATAACACCGGATACTCACTGGATTGGGATCGAAATTTCTCCAGTCATGACTCAGTTTAGTCTTCTCAACTTGTTCATATCTCCCATGACAAACAGATGGTTTTATCCTGTAGAACCAAGTGCGTCTGTTTTCACCTCTAGGTGCTGATTAAAAAATAAAAAAATCTTTACTATCCAGCACTCGGTACACTCGACTCCTCGAGCACTAGAATAACCACCAGCAACCGCTAAAATTTTACCAGTGAAAGCTGTGCCCGACAGTTGCTCGGCGTAGAGGCCGTAGGGACACTTCTGCGGAGTATTTTGACCTTGCGGTAGAGAGCCTGAACAGCGAGGATCCTCGCTCGCAAACTCGCTCCCAAAGCCCGAGAGATACTACAAATCACGTTGAGATAATTCAACTAACGTGCGAAGAAAACTAGCCGAGAGTGGGATAAAACGGACATTTCAAGCGTCAATATCTCCTGGCCAGACGGTACAACTTGAATGAATCAGGTCTCATTTTCAAGTTTAAAAAAATACCTTGAAAATGAAAAAAAAAATGCAAACTTTCACTCTGCCGTTCTCGAAATATTGACGATTGAAGCCGGTTCGTTGTGCCCATATAATTAAATTATTCTTGCGGCTGTTAAAACCTTCAGCGCCGACTCCATCTTCACGATTAAATTGACTTTACACTCTAGATATAACCGGGAGTTATCAAAGCTATTCGAAAGTTCATTTATCAAGAAACCTCACAATCAGCAGCGATAAGTCCAGCCGTGCAATTAAATATATCAGAAGAGAATTTACTAAAAAAATTGAATGCACACCTCAAAATTGTCTCTCATGGTGACTTTTTGGGACACGAATAACATCAAGAACACCTGGAGTCTCTCATTTTATAGAAGAACCCCTAGTCGACCTTAGATGTGGCGTCAACAGGATTTATAATTATGCACAAACGTGTTTACGAAGCATCGATATCGTCCAATCAAAGGAATGGGAGATGTAGGCGCGTCTCGATGGAAAAGCACGACACCAGTTAGTGATACTCACGCATGGGCCACTATTCCATTATTTATTTCATTTGACGAGCCTCCAGCGTGACGCATAAAAAATAATGAAGAACAACAACGAGAATTCTGGTCATTTATTCAAGTCAATTCTCCCCTGGATTATTAAATTTCTCGTAATTTCTTTCTGCTCTGGCACAATGAGACATTACTTAATTTCATTGTATCATAAAACCAAAGAACTGAGCCCGAGGAATCCTCTTTCACCGAAGAAACCGCGCATAATTAGTGAGTGAAAAAATTTTTTTATGGATAATTAATTGTGGAAGAATGCGGCTTTTGTTGTTAAGAGCTTTTGACTTGAGATACTCTCCTAGATTATTAAATAATATTAATACGTCTTGATTTGATCTAAATGGGTAAATGCGCACGTGTTGTAAATTTATTCGGAATGAATTCGAAAGCAAACACGTCGTGATAATATCGAATGTAATTATTGTTCATCTGTTAATATCGCTGTGTTAGATGTGAGAGAGTGTGTACATTAACATTGTTGTGAAGACGAGAAGAATATTGAATGTTATTCCGATTAATTCGGAATGGATTTTCCTGGATTTTCGAGATTTAAACGGGTTTTTTAGATTTATGGAATCTAACGAGTCTCTTTCACATCGACAATGAAGATGAACTATCAAAAATGTCGGAAATCAACGTTTACATTTATTTTTCTGCTCGTTAAGTGAGAACTGCAATGAATTATTTAATTATGGGAGTTAATCTCTCCTTTCACTTTCCACTATTTTTGAGACAAAAATTCCACTTTTTGGTGACTTGAATCTCGAGGAAAATTCAACTTTCGAGGTGGCTTGATTAATATTAATGTATGCATGGGGATAAAAATATTGAAATGCCAGTGATTTGATAGAAAACTCGATCAACCGGTGTCTCTCGTTTTATCACCTTTCTCGGGACAAGTGGTGACTATTGCGCGTGCAATATTTTGAACTGAATGTGCCAAACGCTGAATTGTCGCGTGATTGTGGTTATAATTAAGTAGCGAAGTGGTAAAACGGTTTAAAGTCGACTTATCTCCCGGCTGAGTTTTTGAGGAATACTTTCGAATCTAAGGGAGATGGCGAAATTTTCGTTATTACATTTGTTGCAGCCCTCAATCGGCTCTACAAAAAAGGTTATAAAAAAAATTTTGCTATCTCCCTTAGATTCCGGGATATTCATTGAAAACTGGTCAATAGTCAAAACTGACTTGTATTGTTTTACCACTTCGCTACTGAATTGTTTTGAAGTAATTTGGAAATTTCGAAATAAAGAAATTTTAATCTGAGTTTGTGATTATGTAGAAATGTGATGTGTGAGACAATTTATCTAGTATTCCGGACATTCCAGGGAGGAGTCGCGGAGATGAGGGCCTGATTTACAGTTATCCACGCGTTGGGCATGAGGGAAGAGAAGGATAACATTTCATCAAATGACCTTGCTCGTTTTTTTTTCTTTCAGAAGAGACATTCAGATAAAAAACAACATGAATAGACTTGCTTTTCCAAAATTTCCCAGTGTTAGAAAAAAATTTCAACTCTATGGACTGCACTCGAGTGCATCGAGTGCACTTTGAGGAAAGAAAAAATAATGAAATTTCAGATTTCACCGAAAATTTAAGAATATATTTACCGGAATTTCCCTGATTTCTAGTCATTTTCACGGATCAATTGAACTGAAATTTACACTTCTCATTGATTTTTCGCCGTGACTATTCGCACTACCACACGCAGAAATTCATATAAGGCCCGAGTGCAGGAGCGGGTATCGAAATATAGTGCAGTTGATTCTAAGGATGATTTTTTAACCAGAGGAGACTCCTAGATCCCACTGGACAATGTTGTCACAAATCTGCTTTTCAATTGAAAATGAAATCCTGAATTTTCAATGAAGAAATACCTTGAAATTTCAATGCAACTAAAATGTGTTAAAAATTCCCAAAAATTGCACCAATGTATATTTTAATAAATTTTTTACTTAAAAAATTACTGTTTGTTTGGGAATGAAATACTCAGAATCATAGAAAATTCGTTATTCATGCCAAAGAAAAATCCGCTTAAAAAACCCGAATTCTAATCGAGTGCTAGATTTCACTGTATCGTTTAAAAATTTCATGAGAAATAAAAAAAAATTCAAACTAGGTGAAAACTATTTGAATACTATTTTTCGTATACTTTTTTTCGTGAAAGATTATTCAATCATTTGTGATGTCAATAGAATTTCTACTCTCCATTCCCCGTGACGATACTACACTTTCAGATTCATGAAGATTTGGGTGAATATTTTCCAACAGATTTGATTTTAAAGAAATCGTTGACACAATTTCACAGAATTTTATTTTGTCATTAAGATTCAGTGGCTTTTCAATCGTTAATTTTAGTAGCTCCCTAAACACTCAATTTTTTTTTCTTCGCGCAAGTATCGATTAACTCCCAATAAATCTCTCCCGCCGTAACAATAAATTCCCATTGAAATCGCATTAGCCACTATTACCCAACACATCCGAATCTCCCACCTTTCATTCCCTACCCCCAACCTCTCATTCATCCGGTCGACACGGATATCCGCGAATATCAGCTGCACCCGCGTCAAAAGCCCTCCCAAGCAAGTGGTAAAAGCAGCACGCGAAAGAGTCCAACAACCGTCGCTAGAGAGGGGCCCGAGTGAAAGATGAAAAGAGTGTGAGAGAGAGAGAAAACTCCATGTTTATACCCGAAAAAAAAGAGAGGAAAGAAAGAGGATCGTACCGGTGGCAGCGAGGCATGAGGTTTAATCCCGTGGCGAGTAGCTCGCCAGTGCTGGATAGGATAGAGACAGGTGGACTGTGGAGCACACGAGAGTTAAAGCCCAGAGTACCGGTCTACCGCCTCGCCTCAAAACTTTACCGGTCGTGAGTTCGTTGTCCGAGATTGAAATTAATTCGCATTATCATCACGATTAACATCCATTATCAATTCTCCCCCGAACTGTGGTAAATTCAGATAAATATTGTTTCATTATTAATTAGCAGCCCAGATTCGCCCGGGGTCGGAGTGCCAAGTCGCGTGTGAATCCGGTACAGGTTGAATGTGAAAACACAAATTGTGGGGATTCACAATTTTATCCCACATTTTTCATCCAATTTGTTCAATAAAAAATCTTGGAGTTGTGTCCAACGACAATTAAAACTCCGGTAAATTGTCATCGACAGGTGAGTCACTCTCATGTCATTAAAATTTCGAATTTTTCGACGAATGAAGGCTCCAATAAGTGTAACAATGATTTCACAATGAAGCCAACTCTTCCAAATACTCTATTAAAGCCTGAAATTGAACGAGTTTCTCTGCATGCATCGTCTTCCACGCTATTCAACCATGAAGAAAAACCCATCTCACTCCGTTACTTTTCAACTACCACCGTTATAAGATCCAACGCATACAGATCTTCATCGCAGAAGTTTGTGTATTTAGCGCTGTCTCTTAATTTTCCCAAAGATAAAGAGAAATTTTGATGAATGGAATTACGAGATAACGATGAAGACAATTGGGTGCATGACACATGGCACGTGTCTAACTAAATTAATACGACTCTTTCATCTTTCAATTGTTTAAAGTGGCACATGACAATTCTCTCATCGCAGAGAAAATAATCTGCGTAAAGTACACATGAGGATTATAATTCTGAACATTTTGCGCACAAATAGCGTTCAGTAAAGGGTTTCTATATGGATCATTTGCATTTGTTATTTTTACGTGACTTGAGAGCAGGTTTTTGGGGGCTTGAGAAGTAGGTTGAGCCCACAAGGAAAAAAATCAACGAAAAATTATGAAAAAATGGAGTAAAAAATTATTCAGCGATGTACATTCGTCTTTTGGCTACTTCTTCATCAAAAACTCACAAATTTTACTGTTTGTTTGGAAAAAATTACGTTGCTTGGAGGACATTTCACTGTTATTCTCCATGTAATTTTTTTTCTGTACGTGTTCAACTAAATTAATACGATTCATTCATCTTTCAATTGTTTAAAGTAGCACATGACAATTCTCTCGTTGCAGAGAAAATAATGTGCGTAAAGTACACATGAGGATTATAATTCTGAACATTTTGCGCACAAATAGCGTTCAGTAAAGGGTTTCTATATGGATCATTTGCATTTGTTATTTTTACGTGACTTGAGAGCAGGTTTTTGGGGGCTTGAGAAGTAGGTTGAGCCCACAAGGAAAAAAATCAACGAAAAATTATGAAAAAATGGAGTAAAAAATTATTCAGCGATGTACATTCGTCTTTTGGCTACTTCTTCATCAAAAACTCACAAATTTTACTGTTTCTTTGGAAAAAATTACGCTGCTAGGGGGACATTTCACTGTTATTTTCCATGTAATGTTTTTTATGTACGTGTTCAACTAAATTAATACGATTCATTCATCTTTCAATTGTTTTAAGTGGCACATGACAATTCTCTCGTCGCAGAGAAAATAATCTGCGTAAAGTACACATGAGGATTATAATTCTGAACATTTTGCGCACAAATAGCGTTCAGTAAAGGGTTTCTATATGGATCATTTGCATTTGTTATTTTTACGTGACTTGAGAGCAGGTTTTTGGGGGCTTGAGAAGTAGGTTGAGCCCACAAGGAAAAAAATCAACGAAAAATTATGAAAAAATGGAGTAAAAAATTATTCAGCGATGTACATTCGTCGTTTGGCTACTTATTTATCAAAAATTCAAAACTTTTAGGGAAATTTTACAGTAAGTTTTCATGTAATTTTCTCTCCACGCACTTGACTCAATGTGATTGAATAAATCAGACCAAGTGAAGCGAGATTTTCAAATTCCCAAAATTTTCACCCGTTCCGTTCCATTTTGCACATCTCATTCCCAGTCATGAGAAATCGAATGTAACAGTTGTCTCTATTGTTGAGATTTTTTTACTACTGCATAAAAAGCCAATTGACGATTCCACGCTGTCAATTGGCCGCTCATTATCCAGTTTATTAATTCCAACGAAAAAAAAAAAAAAACTCGAGAATTTACGAGCACTTTCATTCGTCTTTTTCACCATGAATTTTTTTTTTATTCCCACAAGTAATTGAAATTATCACGCAAATCAGAGAGCATTTGGTGGGCAAAGCGTGGAATTATTCTTGATGAAAATTATCCAAGTGAAATAAGCTGATGGTATCTGAAATGAAATTTACCACTGTTGAAAAAAATCGTGAAAACTCAAAGTGAGAAAGATTTTAAAACGACCGAGTGTAAACATGTTGGATTAGACGTCACATTGAATTTATGAAAGTTTCCCTCGGTTGCATTATGGTGCAGGGCATCCGGTGTCCATTCACGCGGGTGAAAACATTGTGATGGAAAAAGAAAAATAAATTGAAGAAATGGGGATTGAGCATGGGTACACACTCGTGTCCTTCACCTACATGCCAGGTTATCCGTATCAGAGAGGGATTGCGCGCCAGTGGGACGCTCGGTAGCTTCACAAAAGTCAGAAAGAAATTTTACCTTTCGCGGTGGAATTATTGGAAATTGTCACATTTTATTTGATTAAGATGTAAAAGCGTTTCGAAATCTCCCGGAGTGTCCAATTTTTATTGCGGGAGAATGAAAGTTTCGGAGGGCGAGAGAGAGGGGGGGGAAACCAATGTACGGATGTAAAAATAAAAAAAATGTCGGAATAGGTTCGAAAAGAAAGTATATGGCGTGACAAATTGTGGACAATTTTACTCAGCACAGTTGACGGATTTGTCTTTGTTGACCTTGGATTGACCTTCATGGAAATTGAGCAGGGAGAATGATCATTTGACGTAATGTTCATGTAAGTTCACATTCGTTGAAGTTTCATGGTGAAGTTCAATTAACTTTTCTTAATTGAGATAATTTATTTGAGCTTGGGTTCAGGAGCTGTGGACGTGGTGCATTAGAATGAATCGTTTGAGGGCAACTGAGTGCCTCTTGCGGTTTTTTAATGAGCAAAATATAGATTTGGGGAATTCAAGGACGTGGAGAATTTGAAAGAAAAACATTTTTCAAATATTTGATTATTATGAATAAATAATGGGGATTTTTTTTGTGAAATTGGGGATATGAACGAAATTGTTACGATTTCAAAAAATGATTGTTTATAAATTATAGAAAAAAAGCAATTTAATAAAAAATCCAATTTTCCATTTTTTAAACTAATTTCTCTCTCAAAAAAAAATCTATTGTTTTCAGATTTATAAAATGTCTTTTAACAATTCAAAATAAAAAACCCAATTCCGAACTTCAACGTTTAAATACTAAAATAATTTAAAAATAATTGTCTGTCAGAAAATAATTGTTCATCACAATAGTAAAATGTTGGAAAAAATGGGCAAATTACTTGGATTTTTCCCCATTAAATAAATGAACACACGGTGAAACGTTCTAGAATAGTATCTCATATTGAATTGTATTTCCCATTTCAATTGAGGGAACTGTCTTCCCATCGTCTAATGCGCTCCCATAATCGTCAATGCTCGTGCACTTTGTTTAAAAACTTTCAATACACCACTGCTGCGCACACCGGATAATTATTCACGTAAGGGAATCCCTCGTGGAATTTCACTCGCGGTTTAATTTTATTTACGACTGGAGCCAGTTGAATCCACTTTCGCGAATGTCCAAGTCTCATTATGCACTGTTACTCCAATTTAACTGTTTTTTTTCTTCACACACGTGCGGTCAACATTTTCACTCCTCTAATTCTCGGGAAGTAGTAAAATGATAACTTTAATGAGAAATTAAGGTATTGCTCAATGCAATCTGTTTATTTGTTTAGAGAGCAAACGAAATTATTATGAAACGGTTGTCTCCGGAGACCGTAATTATCCAGTCTCGTAAAATAGTCAAGATTGTCAAATGAATAGTGTCTTTTTACGACTAAATTATATCAATATAATCCTGTAGACGCCCCGCCCATGAAAAAACAATAGAAATTATTTAGACAGTTACAAATTTATTTGCGATTATTTCATACTTTCGTTCCACGAAATGATAGCAAAAAAAATATGCCTAAATAGTCATAAAATAAGACTAAAACTTACGGCTCCGAGCATGCACTTCGCCTTTAAAAAGTCCTTTCACCGCATCCATAACGATTTAAGTGAAATAATGCCTGAATTTTAATGCAACACGGAAAATATCTCAATTATTCAGATATTTATGAAGTATCGATTGACTATTGCATAAAATTCAAATTGATTAGGAAGTCCATCGAGCTATCGCGCTCGCATACAACCGAGTTAGAAAGCTGAACGCAGTGCAATGATGCTCCGAGGCTATCGCACTCTTTCATCTCGCAAATGAGGACTAAATGCGAAGGGCGATGTTTACGGAATTAAACTGCATCAATTTTATCATTAGATTATTCTTCATTTAAACAGAAATGTGAGATTACTTGAGGAAGTGTGTGCGGAAGTATGAGTCAATTTACAGAATATTATTCACTTTATTAATTCAAAATTTTTTATTGAATTTTAGTGATTTCGAAGTTTTTTAACGGCACGAAAACGAGAATTTATCAACTTTCTTGAATTTCCAAGGAAAAATCAATGATCAGTATCAAATTACATTTGCGTTTCAATTAATTGAAAAGTCAAGAATCCGTGGATTTGAATTTTCCTGTTTTTTATTCATTTTCGTGGAATAATTGAACGGAAAATAGCAGTTTCCATCGATTTTTCCAAAAAATTTACCGGATATTCCAGCCGAATAAATAATAAACCCGTCGTCATCAATTGTTTCTAAATTTTTTTTCAGGATAAACGAGAGGAAGAAAATGTTTCGTAAGAAATGGCGCGAGATCGTTTAGGATCAGATTACTTAGAGAGTATGAGCGACGCTACAACCTGCACCTGTACAACAACATCTCTAGACAAGGTATGACATTTTATCCTCAATTTCGTTGATCAATCGTGACGCAAGCGGAAAAAAAATCATCGTAATGATGAGGGCCAAAGTGTCATCTTGGATTTTTCCAGGGGGAAAGTCGACTTTCGCCAAAATCGAATTTTTTAGCCGGGTGAACGTTGATTCCAACTATTTAAGCGACGGGCTATTCAGAACTATCAAAAGTATGTGGAAAAAGTTAAAAATGAAAAAAAAATTTTCCGGAGGCCAAAGTGTCGGATCTTGGATTTTTCCGAGGGGAAAGTCGCTCCAAGGGTCATAAGGGTCACAAGAATCAAAGTGTCAGTTCTTGGATTTTTCGCCAAAATCGAATTTTTTAACCGGGTGAACGTTGATTCCAACTATTTAAGCGCCGGGCTAGTCAGAACTGTCAAAAGTATGTGGAAAAACTGAAAACTGAGAAACCGTTTTTTTTTGCCTCAGCCAAAGGGTCAGATTTTCGGGTTTTCCGGGGCAAGTGGATTTTCGCCAAAATGGAATTTTTTAGTCGGGTGAACGTTGATTCCAAGTATTTACGCGACGGGCTATTCAGAACTCTCAAAAGTATGTGGAAAAAGTGAAAAGTAAAAAGTTTTTTTTCCACCCCGAGCCAAAGGGTCAGATAATCGAATAAATGAATTTCAAAAAATGGATAAAATCATCAGAACAATCTCCAAATGTCCGTATGGAAGAGAATTAATTGCTGCAACTCAGATAAAATGAGAAAACTAAATAGAAATGAAAGCAATGGAGATAAGGATAATAAGAACAAGTTTTAGATCCACAGAAATTCAAACACTCTTTCTTCCGTCAGAGATAGACGTATCACGCTGCGATTCTCATCACCTTCGAGCTTGCGTACAGATATGGAACACTAAGTAACGAAAGACGGATGAATTTTAACGAGAGTTTTTCCAACTTCAGAGGAGCGATAAGCAAATCCAATGTGAAATTGCTTTTGTAATTAATTCCCGGATTTTTGTTGTTTATTTATACGGCAGTCGGTTGATTTTTGCGAAAGATATTGTCTGGTATTACGGGAAATAATTACAATAATTGTAAAATTCAGCGAAAACTACTTGTTTTCACTTGCATTATAATAATTATTAAAATTGGAATGGAAAAAAAATTGATTTTTTTAAATGTTTTGTTCGTGTTTCCGTTGTTTTTTTCACAACTTTTTGCGATAAAAATGTTGAAAAGGATTTCCACAAAAAAGTGAACATAAATCAATCATTAGAATCCCCTTGAGTCGACTAATCTCTCATGTTTGCATCCTGAATAACTTTCCAGGAATTTTTGTCGTAGCTACTGTATTGATTGGTAAACGTTTTTTCTCTGATTTTGAAGATGAAAAATAGTTGATAAACTGATAGTTGCTTTGCACTATAAATGGGTTTTGTAAATTTAATTATACAGATGGAATTAAATTGTCCTCACGAGGGGAGGATTTAACTCTTGAAACGTTAGCGTTAAAATGCGGATGTATTTTTATTCATCTGCCTATTAATTATTAGAGCTGCTAATGGTGACCGCAGAATCGCCTAATAAAAGAGTTTTTAAATACTCAATGATTTTTCAACCGCTTTTTATAATTCCAATTCAGTATTTTAAGTCGACTTAGCTCTTATCTGAGTTTTCGAGGAATATCTCCAAATCTAAGGGAGATAGCGAAATTTTCGTATCTATCTTTTTTGAAGCTCTCACTGTGCTCTAAAGAAAAGGTCATAACAGAATTTTTGCTATCTGCCTTAAATTGCGAGATATTCATTGAAAACTCACGAATAGTCAAAATCGACTTAAACCGTTTGGCCCCTTCGCTACTGAACAAAAAACATTTTGAAAATATTAGTTATCGCTTTTTATGGCCGCAAAATTGGCCCTTGGAAGGGGTTTTTAATTGAAGTTTTTAAATAAATTTCAGGTTATTAATTACGAATGAATTTTGAATTTTAGTGTTCCCTACGGAGCTGCACAATGTTCCACGAGCCATTCTTCCTCCACCCCCCGACGTCCCGACCCCGCGACGGTATCTACATAAATCCAATGAACCCCTTCATCTCGGAATCTCCAAAGCCAAAGGATTCCGAATCCTTCTACCTCCACAGCCCCCACGACCTCGTCTACACCAGGATAACCCGGCTCTTCTGCGAGAACATGGACAAGTCAAGGAATATGGAGCGCAATGGTATCGAGAGGAAGGACGAGACTCTAACCGGTAAGTGTGGCATGTCCCAGATATCGAGTCGTGTCTTTGGGTCGTCACTCCAGCAGCTGACGCATCATTATTCTCGTATTACTCTTTTTCCCTCCGTTCATTCGATCGATATTCATGCTTCAATGGATCGCGGATGTAAGTTATTGTAGACTTCCTGCGTAAAGTATAAGATTAGCGATCATGAAAATTGTCGTATGATTCGCTGAGTTTCACTTGGGCACGATAATTAATGAAAATTTATTGATTTAATCTGGTGGACGTGGTGAAACGTGACGAATCAATCTTTCACTCCTTTCTAAAAATTAAATTATTTCGATGACTAATGATTTTAGCGATGAATCTCAAAAGACATTCTCCATTGACTTTTTTTTATTTCATTGGAACGAATGTCACATTTAACTGAAAACTCAATAGATTGAGATTTCGGAAAAATTGTCTTTTCACAATTTGCAATGCTGTTAACTCAAAAAATTAACTGATTTGTCAATAATAAACGGAAATAAATTACGCGTAAATTTTTCGTTACTGCAAATTTCAATATTGTTTACTTGAAAATTAAAAATTGTTGATCAATAATGATTAGGATAAACGTCTTCAATTTCGATAACTCGCGATAATTGAACATCACATTCAATAGAAAAATCAATAAATTGAGAATTAAGAAAAATTATCTTTCCACAATTAGCAGTGATTTTAATTCAATAAATTAACTGATTCGTCAATACCAAAAAATAAATAGCATAATTTTCAGTCACTAATTCCCAAGAAAAATGAACAATTACCAGAACTATTAAAGTTGTTATTCCCCCAAAATAAACATCCTAAACAAACACAAAATGACCTGTCAGTAATCGATCGTCCCCATTTGTCGTCATTGTTTATCCACAGCTTAACAACTTGTCACTGTATCTAATCGCAAAAGATTGCAATATTCACCCCACCACATGACAATGCATCTCGACCCCGATTACCGTCCCATCGTCAGTCTTCCTTAACCCACCGTCAATGCCCCATCCTCCCCGAAAAAGCCTGAAGAAACGATTGAGCCACATCCACGAGGTTTAACCGCGTGTATCGATGGATCAGGAGACTAATGGTAAATCGACAATTCAGTTACGTTACCTCCAACTCAGGATTTATTGAGCCCCCACGAGAACTGGACTGAACCTATCAGCCCGCCACGCAGCGAGAGAATCCCCATAAACCCCGTTACGCTCATATTAAGTACAAGAATTATGGGTGCTCTCACATGTCGTGAATCTCCACAAGAAGAAACCTCATCAGCACTGGATATAAAACGAGTAGAAGGATTTATGCCGTCCCGGAAATGGCGATTATGCTTTTTATTTCATTCTATCGGATTTTATTGACGCGGATGTTATCACGCTTTATCGCCCTAATCGCCGGATCAAAATGCATCCGCAACTGAGAAACAACACAAGAAAATAAGTCACTGTACATTTTTTTTTCAGTGAAAGTGGACGTACACATCAATAATGGAAGTTTCAAGACCCTGAGCAACGGTAACTCGATAAAGTCGGACATAATCAAGGACACGGATCATGCTTATGAGCAGATCTGCATCAGGCCGGAAGAGACGGAGAGTGTTAAGTCGATTGGAAATAAAAAAATTCACGACGACGTTAATGGAAGCGGGTAATTAAAAAAAATCTCATAATTCTTTTCAATTAATTAAAGCCTTGTTTCGTTTTTTTTTTATCAGCTGAGAAGTGTTTCTTATACGAGAAAATAAATATGTTGAGAATCAGCCCTCAATTTCATTAAAAAATTTCATTAAAAAAAAACGTCGTACGTCTAGCAAAAATGAAAAAATTAAAATGAAAAATGGAATTTAAGTTAAAATGCCTTTTTTTAAATCTTAAAGCCGTTCAAGAACGAGCGAACGAAGATTCAGTAGATCGAGCAGCGGTAGTGAATCATCCCAACTGAGCAGTGAAATCCACTATTCGTCAGCGACGTCAACCCCCTCATTATCGCGCAACAGCAGTAATGAGCGTCTAGGAAAAATTCCAAAACCCCCAGAATTACCAGGTACACAATAACCAACACGATCCATAAACCCTCGCAATCTAAATCGAAAAATCCGTTCTTGACCATCAATTCAACGTTTACAGATAGGAATAGCTCGACGCCAGAAGGTGAAAAGACTTCGAAACCACCGACAAATGGTCCCAGGTAAGTGGATCGATATCGATCGAACACGATAATGAGATGAGCAAAAAAAAAAAAACCCGAGATCATTTCAACCCCATTCTATTCATTTTTTTTCTCTCAGCATCGTGAATACACCGCCACCACCGCCGCCGCCGCCACCTCCAGACACCGATGATTCCTCAAAACCCAATGACATGAACGAGAAAAAAGACACCAAGGATACCAAGAGCGAGAGTGAAAGCACCCCTTCAGGTTGGTACAGCATTCGCATAAAAATTGCCCTTTTCAACTGACCCATTGCAAATTTTTCCGGTATATGCCGATAAAAAAAATGAGGTGTGAAAGGCGCAATCAGAGACATTTAAAACTTGCAGAAAAGACTCGTTCTCCGATAATTTCACGACACTTTACCCCTCACCCCCTGCAAATCAGGTTGTAAACTGATAATGAAATAAATCAATTGGTGGTAACCGGCCTAATTGGGCGCAATGACCGTGCCAGTTTGGCAAGACAATTTACTAGTTTAATAATAATTTTAATTGGCCCGTTAACGCGATTATGGATGCGTCCATTACTAGACCATATCGTTCCACCAGGCATACAATACACTTACCTAGATTTCACTTGTGCTTTAATCATGAAAATTGTGCATACAATTCCCACTAAACTTTATAACGTAATTGACTAAACCCACCATCACGCACAATCATCCTTCAACACCTTGAATGCCCCTATGAACTAAATTTCCCCTACCACATATTTAGGTTTAAAAATCTTTCATTTTGTGTTGCGCTACAGCGACCAACAAGTCCGACTTATCCTGCGAAGAGGCGCATCAGTGTCTACCACAGGCGGAATTTGTAGCTGCGGTTAGTGCCTCGTGTACAGAGACTGAGAATATCAAGCAGTGCCAGGTGACACACCTGGTCCATAAGCACATGGTGTTGCCATTTATACCACCGAAATTCAACAATGCAGCGGATTCAAATACATTGCTCAAGCCATCCGAGTATTTGAAGAGTATCTGCAAAGCTCCGGGGAAAAATACATTGTCAAAAGCACGGTCAGTGACATCTCAATTGTCAAGTGGCTGAATCCAGCGAAATCAGTGAATTCAGGAGAGTTTTTGGGGGAATTTTATGCAGCTGTCCAGCGAAAAAAAGTTTCTAGTTTTCAGAGCAAAGTTAATGATTTTTTTTTAAACTCAGTGGTTATTCAGAAATTGATAAATTGAATAATTGTTTTGATAAAAATCTTTAAAAGTCAGTATTAAAAATCAGTAGCGAAGCGGTAAACCGGGTCAAGTCGATTTTTACTATTGGCTAGTTTTTGACGAATATCTCGGAATCTAAAAGAGATAGAAAGATTTTTGTCATGACCTTTTTTGTAGAGCCAATAGAGCGTTATAAAAAAAGTCATGAGAAAAATTTTGCTATCTCTCTTAGATTCCGAGATATTCAGCAAAAACTAGCTAATAGTCAAAATCGACTTAACTCGGTTTACCGCTTCACTACTGAAATATACTTGTTTCAAGTGAAAAATGTCAAGTATTTAGATGAAGTACAATCAAATCCTCGAATTGAGAATTCTTTAAAGATTCAAATTGCAGTAAAAATTCAAATTAGTGAAAATTAGAATTTTTTTGTCTGATTTTTAGTAGAAAAATATTTTAAAACCGATGGTAGTAATTTCACTTTTTTAAGGTTTTCTTCTCATCTTTGGTAATTTTGGTACAAAAGGGGTACAATTTTGGTCTAAAATTGTCAAATTTTCTCTGAAAACTAAAGTATTTTCTTCTTACGCAAAAACCTCTTCGATATTAATCTAAAAAATGGGCCTGAAATCCGTTCGAATTCTCTTATTGCACCACTTCCCTAAGAATTGTCAACAAAAATATTGTGTCATATACTTGCTCAAGTGATAACCCCAAAAGTGTTGATTTTCAAAACAGATCAGTCGACAATTTGGACATTCAAACACGAACAGACGAGGAGGAGGTGGTGCAGTGTCCAGAGGTGAATCCACCACCACCAGGGCCACCTCCACCCCCCCTTCCCCCCCTCTTAATAACAAAGGACACATCAGCACTAGTGTCATCATCGTCAGCAGTAGCGAATAATCACGAGCCACCAGAGACCCCGAGGACACCCCAGCCCTTGGCAACAATCAGCATCCAGGATTTAACGAGTGTGCAACTCCGCCGTACCAACATCAAGATGAATGCAACAAAGACATTCTCAGCCCCACCACCTCGCAGTGTCTCCATGACCAATGGTAATAATGGGTTCGTCGACCGTCATTTCCTACGACTCTCTAATTACGAATTAATGAGTTACTGATGCACTCCCCCGTCTCTCTCACTCTCCCCTTCATTTCGCCTTATTCATCATATTTTCATTTGTTACAGTGTCAGAACCATTTTTCGTCCAGAAAACTGATCTCATAGCCGAGCTCAAACTTGCTAAAGACATACCTGGAATTAAAAAATTCAAAGTGGAGATGGCCAAAGTGGAGAAGAAACAGGAGCAAAATCTCATATCAGAAATTAGCAAAAGCTTCAGTGTCTCTAATTTCGTTGACCAAGTGAGTAAACCACTAGCTTCCAATTTATTTTCTAAAAAAAAATATTTGTTTGTATTCATATTCATATTTTAATTTTTTTTTATTCATTTTCATACTCATTTTTTTGATTTTCTAAAAAAATATGAAGCTGACACTAGCGAAAGATTCGACAGCAGAAGATTTGTCTGAGGCAAATCCAGGGGTGTTGAAATGTTTTTCAAGTGCACTATTTAAAAAAAATTTAAATAATGAATTTGAGAGTCGAATATCCCCTAAATTGAATTTTCCGCTGACAAATATTCTGCTAGTTTAAGCTTCACAAAAAAATTCTGTACATTAAAAATATAAACTCAAATAAACCCCCAGATCCCAGAGAGAGACAGCGCTGGAAACATAATTCCCATTTGGAAGCGACAAATGTTGGCTAGAAAAGCAGCAGATCGTGCGAAGAAAGAGCTAGAGGAGCAGATAGCCCGGGAGAACGAGGAGAAACGACAAAAAGCCATTCCCCCATGGAAGAGGCAGTTGCTGGCGAAAAAAGATAACTGCGAAGACAAAGAAAAAAAGTAATTTCCCACGCAAAATAAATAAAAAAATGGAAATCTCGTTAATCAACGATACGATAAATTGACAATGAAAAATATTGCAGATCAACAGTACCGTTGCCTCCTACTCCACTGGCGCCAGCACCCCCACCAGTTAAAATCGACTTAGTACCTGTTCAAAAAAGGGATGCCCCTGCCGCAACAAGGCCGAAGGAAGTGAAAGTGGAAGAAGAAAGAAAACCAGTACCTACCAGGGACAATGATTCCGACGACGATGCCCCAATTATTCCTTGGCGTGCACAATTGCGAAAAACAAACAGCAAATTGAATATTCTCGACTGATTAATTAACCGATGACATCAGTATAAATCTCTCCCCCCTCCCCCTCCCCCTCACCCCCAAAAATCGACAGAACAACGGAATAAAACATTGTGCTACTGCTTTACATTTATATGAAAGACCATTCAAGAGCAGAGTATTTTCACAATTGTGTTTGATCACTCGATTGAGCACACAATATCCCAATGTAATCCATTCATATAAGTATATGGACATAATCGACAGGCAATACTATTAAGATCCATCACCAATGTAAATAAAATGTCAGTTTACAATTACGTTGAAGCGTCCTGTCTCTCAGTTGAATCACAATCGATTGATATTTGTGGAAATCGTCCCTACAGGCGCAAGAGGGAGTGGGGGAGAAGAAGAATAGATGGCCAACGATAATATCGGCGTATTAAAGTATCTATTCTTCACCGTCCATCAGCGAGAAAAAAATTTTACCTCCCCCCTGTTCAACCATTCAGCATTCAGCCGTTTCGTCTAATGTATATACAAACGGTCTTCCTCGATGCGTTGTAATACTGGCCCGTAAAGTTTCTTCCTATATATACCTTCCCGCTCTTCAGGACACGGGCTCAGTCAGTATCACGACGCCGGCCAGTGTGTTGTGCTGTTTGCCTCGAGTCCACAGTTATTTATTCACATTTTTTTCATTCTTACGCAAAAAGAGGGCAAATATTGGCATTAACTTACTCCACTTGTGCCAGAGGACCAACAAGAAATTAATCAGCGGATCATTCTGACGTTTTGATTTTTAGATTTGTGTTTTTTCGGAAGAGGAAATACCAACGACCGGCCGGTGATCATTTATTTTAAAACGTCAGCAACTCATTTTTTTTAAACACTCTGTTTTTAACTATTCACGTGGTAACTAGTTGTTATTGTTTGTTTATTTAATTTATTGTCCTTAATATGGCGTCATCTCAAAAACTTCTGGGTAAGTCTCCAGTGGAATTATTGCAGTTACAAAATTATTCGTTCGTTCGTTTATATTTGAAGACAAATGAAATGAAAATTAGCCGATTGCCAGTGGAATTATTTCGCTCTTTGAGTTCACTTTACGAATGTTTTTTTCACTTTGCAATTCAAATATTTGATAATTTATCAGGGATATTGTGAATGCATGCAAAAATATATAATCATCCTAATGAAAATTCTTGAAATAAAATTAGCGATGTTAATCATAACCCAAATAGTCCTCTATAAAACGAGGCCATTCCCAACAATGACAAAATTTTTCACTCTGAGATCCCATTCGTCGCTTCATTGGATAATTTGTGTACGCAATGACAGAAACACGTGTTGAGTACATTTGAGAAGGAGGTAATGAAGATATTGAGGTCAATGTCCACTTCCGGAAGACGAATTAATGAAAATGAAAATCTTATTATTCTCTCCCATAGCCGGCGCCAAAGCTCTCACGTTCAATTAAACAAGTGTCACTCGGGGGTTTTAGGATAACTAGGCACGCTATTCGTGATTCATCTTCGGTGCAACCAGTGGCTAATGCAGAATTTTTCTTTAAAATTAATTGTTGATGGACGCCAGCCCTACCGGGAATAGCAGCCCGATTCAATTATAAAAATTAATAAACTTGTATGGAGAAGACACTGAAAGTCTTCATTGTATAATTATAGATTCGCTTTGAGAGTCCCATTCGAGGAAAATAGAGAATCTCTTTGTGAAAAAATGGAAATAACTCAGAGAAGACTTTCTTATACTCTCAATCAAATAATAAATCCCGCGTCTCGTGATCATTTGACGAAAAGGAATAACTGAATTTTTCAAAAAATCACCCTCAAGTTGACTTTACCCATCTCCAATTACAACTTTCCCATCGATCTTTCCCCCCCTTGGATATTCAAAATGTTATCTTCCTCGCAGAACAATTATTGAAATATCGTTCCACTGTTGGCAACGAAGCCAAACTTAAATTGTAAACACAAATACATAACAGTGACGAGTGTTCCGACGAGTTACTTGTACTACCGATTGCGTCCATTAAATTTCCGTTCAATGAAAAATATATGCGCAAACAATAAATTCAAAGTGGAGTAAAAAATCGAGTAATGGCAACAATTCGCGATAGCTCAGTTTCAATTAAAAATATATAAGCAAACGATAAATTCAAAGTGGAATAAAAAATCGAGTAACGGCAACAATTCGCGATAACTCAGTTTGAAAAATGTTTTTTTAATGCTCCGAGGGAGAAGCATTCTGCGGAAAATTAGTTATTGTTACACAACAGAGTGACTGTCGGCATTTTTCTTTGAAGAAATTCTCCGCAGAGTGCTAATTTACTACACCAGAAACCGTTCAATGTTTATTACCATTTGTTCAACAGTTTTTTGTTAATTTTTTTTTCTGTCAAAAATATGGAAACAATTTATGCGATGGGAAAATGTATAGGTGGAGAGAATTTAGACTCATATTTCCCCGTCATTTGTCAACAAAATGGTGCATTAGCATACGGATGATTATAGAGGGGTGGAAAATGACATGTCTGGACGCATGCAATTATCCACCCACACGGAGAGAGATCCGATTCACTCGATTAAGTTGCGATTAACAGCAAAGTGAAACTTCCCGTTTGTATTTCCGTTTTGTCCCCAGCATGACAATCCAACTCTATTTTTTTTTTACACCTTTACTTCGAATTCGAATATCACAAATGAATTTGGCCTCGGCCTTACAACGGTACAAGGTTGCGAGCACTATAAATAAATGCAGACAGAGTGGACGTTTATTTAGACATGTATTTGTGACGTTAATAGCACTTTGAAAATGAATTGTTTCTCTCTTCCTGGATTACATCTAGTAAATGGGAGGACAATTATGCATGGAATAAAAAAAATCAGTCCATTATTTTGGGAAATATAGGTCTGACCAGATGGCGATGTGGGAGAGAATTAAACTTTGAATTGGCAGGTATCCACGAATTCGCGTGAAACCCAGAAGTGCCTGAAGACACTCTGGCAGATTCCCAATTAATACTTCTGATCTTTTTTGATGAACGTAAACAGAAAAATAGGGAGGGAAAATCAACATTAAATGAGGGGCAAAAGCAGGGCTTGTCATGTGTTACAACCGACGACTCTAAATTTTTCTCAATTTTTTTACATCTCAGTAGCGGAGTGTTAAAAGGGTTCAAGTCAACTCATCTCACAGTTGAGTTTTTGAGGAATATTTCCAAATCTAAGGGAGATAGCGAAATTTTTGTAATTACATTTGTTGTAGTATTCAATCGGCTCCACAAAAAAGGTCATGACAAAAATTCTGCTAGTCCCCTTAGATTCCGAGATATTGATTGAAAACTGGTCAATAGTCAAAATTGACTTATACCGTTTTACCACTTCGCTACTGATCTGATCTTATCATCCACATCTTGATGTTAGTTTTATTCTAACAACTGGAATACTGTAAATATCTCATGAATTTTTTACCTCAATAATTCAGTAGCGAAGCGGTAAAACGATTCAAGTAAATTTTCAATGAATATCTCGAAATCGAAGGGAGATAGCAAAATTTTTGTTACGACCTTTTCCGTAGCTCTCAGTTCGCTCTACAAAAAAGGTCATTACAAAAATTTCGTTATCTCCCTTAGATTCGGTGATATTCCGTGAAAACTCAGCCGTGGGTCGGTATCCAGCAATAAATAAATAAATAAATGAATAAATATTGTTACAGTGTGTAAGATGAGACGTTTAACGCCTTTCAGATCGTTTATCATGCCGCCAAGTATTGAATATAATGGTGATACTAGGATTTATGCTCAATTACATGCTCAGAGTGAATCTCACCATAGCTATTGTTGCAATGGTCTTTCCAAATAACTCAACACATTCCAATTTAACGCACGGTAATCACGAATGCTCCGGAGGTACAGCGCCCGTGAATTTCAGTAATTCAACGATGATTCATGGTTATGGAGGAGGATCGAATCGGTCAGAACAATTTCATAATAATAATGGAGAGGTAAGAAGTGCTTATGATAATTCAATAGCAATTGTTTTCAAAAAACTGTCCTTGATGATAACTCCTTGATTAGCTGTTTACTACTGCGAAGCGAAATTGTTATGATTCATAATGCATTGATTGTAATCAATTTTCTTCTTTGTTTCCGGCCATTTGTCAAGGGCTTTCGAATAATTCAGTGGTAGTGATTGAGAATAGTCAATTAAAACTCAATTGTTTCATTTGCTTAGTGAGCTATCTTGTCTTCCCATCTATTCATTCATTTCAAGTAATGTAAACGTGACTCAAATTTTGAAGATTAAAAGTGTTGATAGTAATTAATTTCGAACTGTCAAAATAACAGTCTCATGAGAAAATTAACTTTTCGTTGTTGAAGAGAAAATTGAAGTCTAGAAAAAACCTCCAAAAATGAGAAATAAAAAATACTGATATATTAATTTGTTGCACTCATCCAAGTTTGAATTCACATGAAAAAATATCAGTGATTAGTATTTTTTTGTTGATTTTTATTCTAATGGCCCCGAAAATGATATTTATTTTAAGTATTTAATGAAATTTCTAATTTTTTATGATTGAGTTTAGGCAATTTCTGAGGGCTTAAGAGTCAAACAATTGTACGAACGAGTTTGCGCATGAGTTGAAAATATTTTTAAACTTCTAGCTTCCCCCAGATCGAATAATTCGCTAGTTTCAGTTGAATTCCCTCGAATTGATTTCCAGGATCAGGAAAGGGCACAAACGAGATACGACTGGGACGAATACGACGTGAATTTCATTCTGGGTGCATTTTTCTGGGGCTACATATGCACAGAGCTACCAGGTGGTAGATTAGCCGAAGTGATAGGCGCTAAAAGAGTATTCGGATACAGCATGTTGATTTCAAGTATCGTGACAGTATTCACCCCAGTGGCAGCAACACTGGGGCCTGGGATGGTAGCGGCGCTTCGGGTAGTCTTGGGATTTATGCTGGTAAGTGGATAAAAATCGTGGGGCTGATTGTCTACGTCCAATAATCAATTTCTGATTGACACTCAAGGGTGCAAGTTGGCCTGCCATACAACCAATGACATCGCACTGGATCCCGCCCTTGGAGCGCAGCAAGTTCGTCTCGAATATGATGGGTCAGTTGGACGCACCGATTGGGAGAAACTGAGATCCATTAACTCTGGAATTAACGGGGTGTCCAGCTAAAAGTTTCTTCGAAATTCCTCAACTTCCCCTGGTTTTTCACACCAATCTAATTTAATTCCCTGACTATAAAAAATTTTCATAACAGTAGAACGGCAAATACTTTTTGTTATAGCATATGATGAAATAAATAATGAAAACTGAGGTCACTTAATTGATGTCATTAACAGCGGAATGAAAAAAAATCCGGAAAATTTATGCTTTTGGAGGAAAAAATCGAGTTTGGAAATTCCTGGAAACTTTCGTAATCTCCTGATTTTTCCAGATCGATGAAATTCCCTGCCAACTCCACGTTTTCCAGATGTCCTTCACTGCTGGACACCCTAAATTAATCTGTGTCCAGTCCAATTACCCAATTTTTTCCAATTGCCGAAATAATCTAATGAACTGTTTTATTCTCTCAGCGTCATCCTTGGGAGCTGCGATAACAATGCCCATCTGTGGCTACCTCATCGCCTCCATCGGTTGGGAATCAGTTTTCTACGTCACTGGAGGAATTGGATTGGTCTGGAGTATAGCTTGGTTCATGCTAGTATTTGATTCCCCTGCCCAACATCCGAGGATCACTGACGAGGAGAGAAAATTCATTGAAGAATCCATCGGCTCTACTTCATCGAAAAAAGTGAGTCTCTTTCCACTGGCTAACGCCGCCCACAAGCGCAGAATTTCAATAAATTAAATCAATGAAAATTGACATTTCCCGTGAGAATATTTTCAGGTGCTGTCTGTCCCCTGGAAGTCAATCTTCACATCTCTCCCAGTTTGGGCAATCGTGATAACTCACGCATGCAGTGTATTCGGTTACTTCACAGTTGTCAATCAGCTTCCAACGTACATGAAGTACATTCTCGATTTCAACATAAAAGCGGTAACTCAGTCCCCACTGATGCACCCAAAGCCCATCCACCAGTATCAGCTTCATTCATCTATTCATTAATTTCAGAATGGCCTCCTGTCATCTCTCCCTTACATCGGCAAATACGTTTTTGCATTGGCAACATCGACTCTTGCCGACTATCTCCGTAGTACCAATAGGCTCTCGGTGACCGCAATCCGGAAGATATTCACGACATTTGGTGAGTAGTTGCAGTTGTCCTACGTCAATTGAATTTGTAATTTGTAGAACAGAAAGCACCATCAACAATTCCCGAAGCAGTGAGCCATGCTGATGAATCGGTGGAATAAATTCGCAATACCATCAACAAGTCCCTGTCCTCAATTGCAATTGAGACAAACAGATCATTAGATCAATTCAATTTGTTATCCACCTCTAATTGTTGATAGAATGCACTGTTGACCTCAATGTCGATTACCCACTGGCGAATTGGTGATAATATTTTTCATTTCTCTCTGTTCGTCATCAAGCCGTCATCACTCCTGGGCTATTTATGATCCTCCAAGCTAACTACGGCTGCAATCGCACATTTTCCGTCGCTATATTCACCATAGCTTTGACTATCAATGGAGCTGTGACTGCTGGATATCTGGGAAATGGGCTTGACATTGCGCCAAACTTCTCGGGAACAATATTCGGTCTCGCCAACACTCTGAGCTCGTTGGGAGGATATCTCAGCAGTCTCATGGTGGGAAGATTGACGTACAAAAATCAAACATATCATCAGTGGACCTATGTCTTCTGGATCCTAGCTGTTACTTATATCACTGGAGCACTGTGTTTCGCTTTCTTCGGGACTGGAGAGCTACAAAAGTGGAATAACCCGGAGGATAATGGAGCTAAAAAGACTGATGATGGAAATGAAGATATTGAGGAAGCTGTTCCCCTGAAGAAAATCACAGCTGCCTGATTTTTTATTCATTTTTATCGATATTTTCACTGTATTTCTCTGTTTTTCGAGCATAACTTAATGTAAATATTGAGTGTTTTTATAGTGAAAATTCCCAATAAATCAATTTATAAAAATTATAGGGAAACAATGTTTGTACTGCTTTAAACCCGGAAAATCGGTAATTTAAATTTGATGTACTTCCAGTCAGAAGCAAAAAACGCAAAAATTGCGTAATACGAAAATCATAAATATCGGTATTTGACGGCGATTGGATTCAAAACGGTAAATCCAATAGTTAAGTCGCTTAGCTTTCTACGCATTCTAAAATTCGGTAGGACTCACCGGCGTTGGATGAAAACAACTGCTCCGTTTTCACCGCCCCAATCGCCTACTCCAGCTATCCATGTAGTTTAATCCTCTCCAGTGCACTCACAAAACAGTGAAACTTATCTTCACTTATTAAAAAAAAAAAACACTGAAACTCACTTCGAAATCACAATTTTTTTAAATTGACAACACGAAATCACTTGTTAAGAAAAATTTTCCCCCACATTTTAGGAATGTTCTAACTTTTTCTACTGAAGGGATCTTCACTTATTAAAAAAAAAAAAACACTGAAGCTCACTTCGAAATCACGAAATCACATGTTGAGAATATTTTTCCACCACATTTATAGAGATTTTTTAATCTTTCCCATTGAAGGCATGAAATAACTGAATTTAAAAATACAGTTTTCAACTGAAAAAGGAAGGTCATCCACAGGTAGGTGTAAAATACCCCCAAAAATATGTGGATAATTCCCACCGAACAAAAAAAAATCAACTTTAAATTCCAGTTATTTCATCTCCTATAGGGAATACCCTCAAGAAGGAATAGAATACACTGAGACAAAGTGTTAATTTACACTCATAATTTTTAGTGCACGTCTGCATTCCCCCCAACACAACTATTTACTTCTATCGAATAAAATTCCGAACAAAGAAACCCCAGCTATTTTGGGACGTTTTAGGCTTTTCCATTGAAGGGATGAAATAACTGAATTTTAGAATACTGTTTTCAACTGAAAAAGGATAGACCATCCGCAGGTAGGTGTAAAATACCCCCAAAAATATGTGGATAATTCCCACCGAAAAAAATTAATTTCAGTTATCTCATCCCCTAGATGGAACACCCTCAAGAAGGAATAGAATAGGGGTGCTTGGGGTAAAACGGACACTTCACTTTTTAAAAAATGTTAATAAGGGATTGAAATGTTGATAAAATTCAATAATATATTTTTTTCAATACAAAGGACAATTCTTTCCCTTTGTGACGAGCCTAAGCTGAGCTCAATTGATCAATTTTTTCTGAATTACGAATATTTAAAATAAGTCTGAAGTGTCCGTTTTACCCCACCCTCCCCTACAGAGAACAATTCTTTCCCCTTGTGACGAGCCTAAACTCAACTCAATTGATAAATTTGTTTCTGAGTTATGAATAATTTTTAAACAGTCTAAAGTGTCCATTT